AGTGGTCTCTTGGATGTCCGAGAAAGAAATAGGAGCATGAAAGTTGGTTACGTTAGTGGGAAATGGGTGGATTGGTATAACTTGAAGCCGTGGCTCAGTTGAACTCGTTCAAGAAATTTCTGTTCAGGAACCACGGTCCTAATTGATATTCCAAGATAGGAACCACGCACCTGCCGCATGGAAAGCCGGTATTTTACCGCCTTAATTTTATTGGTTTCCCACTTTTTTTATTTCAACATTCCCTTGTGTATAGACACCCGATATTCTCGCCAGTCTGTGCGGAATCACTTTGCCCGTTGCTAGTGAAGCAGAAAACGAATTCTGAGCCTTTGTTACAAAAGGTTCTTAATATACAGAGAGAACATTTGATCCAACATGACTTGAATCGAATGTTGAATGTATCTTTTTCGGAATTTTATTCCTATTATTCGCGTTCTGGAACCATAATAGCATTTTCTTGTTGTGACGAACAAGATTCGTCCTCCTCTCGTTAGCTTTTAAAACCCTTAAAGCCTACTAATTACGGTGCACGCACCATAAAGAAATCTCTTCAGGGTCGCAGCGTCCATGTTAACCGTGTTAACCCTGCTGACACTTTCAAAACGAGAAATAATAAGTTTTTTGCCTTACTATCGTGTTTCTGTGGTACTCGCAGCGAACCAGGAAAGTAAGACAGAAGACTATTTATTTTCCGTTTTTCAGAGTGTTGGACGGTTAGCATGAAAGCTCTGCACCCTGATTTCATGTTTATCCTCGAAGATTTCTGTCTTCTGGGTTGTGTCGCTGTGTAGTCTGGTCGATGTTAACTAACGTTTCAGAGGTCATACTGCCTCCGTCATCAGAGTATGAAGATTTCTGTCTTCTGGGTTGTAGCGCTGTGTAGTCTGGTCGATATTAACCAACGTTTCAGAGGTCATACTGCCTCCGTCATCAGAGTATGAAGATTTCTGTCTTCTGGGTTGTAGCGCTGTGTAGTCTGGTCGATATTAACCAACGTTTCAGAGGTCATACTGCCTCCGTCACCGCTGTGAAAACCTCAAATCTTACATGTTTATCATCGTCTCTAGGAGAATGATGGCATAGCAACTTCAAATAGGTTATGTCCGTTTCTTTAAAATTTCTTTCTTCATACACAAACTCATATATTTTGTTATTCGACGTTGTATAATCAGTGGAATTGAAACAATCTCGTAAAATAACACGATGCTTGCTTTACGTCTGCAGGAAAGACGCGAGCTACACCGCCTCGCCCTGCAGTGTTGTTGGTATTTCGCGTCTTGTGCACAAACAAGGCACGAGAGCAAGATTAAGAACGCGCTATGAGATAAACTCATATCTGCGTTACTGGAAGGAACATTCCGGTACACATCCGCTGTCACAACACGGCGTTTGTCTAAGTCTCTTAATAAGGAGAAGTTCGATTGTCTTCATGGCCAGACAGGCACGAACTGGAAATAGCAAAGCATTTTTGTGTACAGGCTAATTTCCAATTAGTACAGAATGTGTGCTGTAATTGTTCGTTTATGGGTAAACAGTGTGCTTATGAACTATCTCTATACAAAATTTCATGTACCGAACTCTAGTGGTTAATTAGATATCGCCTTCAAACTGAAAACTAAAAAGTAAAATTTCGTGTGGTCTCCATCTTGAACTACCTTAATGACATATATAGATTTCTTGAAAATCTATTGTTACAAAAAAACGGGGCTCCATTTTGTGTCTCACCTCTGATGTTCGCACTGCTGCAGTTGTGGTATGATTAATTGTTGAAAATTAAGTAAACGTATAGTGGCATGAATTAATACAAAATTTTATTTAAACCTAACTATAGGTCTATCAGTTTTCTCAAACGCTAGTCGTTATACAAAACATTGGTACATAACCTAAAATATAGATAATTTTTAAGACCTGCAACTTTTTTTATTTTCATTATTTTTGATATAGTGAATACGTAACGAAGCACCCTGCAGAGGATCTGCAGTATTAGGAGTTTTGCAGCCATAATATATTCGGTAAATTAACTTTTAGCCCAATGACATTAAATCACAAGGAGGACATTTTGTAAAATATTTTTACTGCAGTGGAGTTGCTACATATTTCCACTCTTGCCGCCTATAAAGATAGCCATTGAAAGGTGAACTCTTTTCGCCTATAAAGATAGCCATTGAAAGGTGGAGAGCAAATTACTGTGTTCCTCGTTGCTTCAAAGCGTCCAAGACAGTCAGGATCTTCATCATCCTTTATCCTCATCTTCAGTTACTTCCGTAATAAAAGGAATGTGCAGCGATTTTCAAATGTGTGTGTTTTTGTAATTCGTTTCTTTTGTCCCCCTGTGATTTCTGCTAGCGGTGTGGTTCGTTGTCAGATGGTAGAGTTCCCTAGAGGAGTCTGGTGGAAAAACATCCATCATATACGCCTTAGGACAACAGCGACCTAAATAACACTTTGTCTCTGTTTTCCAACCTTTTCTCGACCCACGGCCCTAAAACAGCACTGGCTTCTCCGAGAATCGGTGCTCTGTCTGACGCCACACAATAAAAACAATTGCATACGAATACATTTATTAGTAACACGTTTTAAATATTATTTTTGGAACCTGAAGATCATTGCCGTATTTGCCAAGACCCTAACCCGGAACACCGTGCCGAGCTTGGCAACTTCTAGTGTATGCCTGACATAAATAAAATAATCAAAACTGGTTAAGTGATTTGGAAGGTAAAAGTACGATTAAACTGGTCGACGGACCTCATTTTTAAGCGTTCACGTTGTGCGCTGAGCTCAGAGAATGCACATTAAAGCTTCAGAGGACTTTCTCATTTGATAACTTGGCCCTACCTGATAACTTTCCCAAATAAAAGCAGATTAGACGTGACGCGGGCATCCGCGTAGTGAAGAAGAATTACAAGGCTTCCGAGTATGTCAGTCCGTGTTAACAAAATCACATGTACTTGATGGGAAGGAGAAGATTTATCGGCTTTTATTTTATTAAATTCCATCTTACCCACTTTTCTCCTTATACTCTCCGATACGCCAACCAGAAACATAACAGAACGCTATAAAATGTTTTTATTAAAATTCGTTGATATATTTTAATCGATTAATCATGAATCATGTTTTCCATATTAATTTTGTATAAACTTATAACGAAACAGAAGGATCAAATCAGCAAACAGGCTCAAAGTTTAAATTAATATAAATTAAAAATTCATGAACAAATTTAGAAAACTCGAAGACGGCCGTCTTCTGGGTTGTTGCGATAAGCCTTGATGATGAAGGCAGCAAGTACTTCTGAAATGTCGGTGAACACCTACCAGACTACGTGGCGCAACAACATAGATGACAGCCATCTTCTTACTCGCCGCCTTGAGAACCTCAGTTTTGATTTTAAAACTTGTTTAATACTTTTATTCTTTGCGATCTTGCATAAAATATTGATTCTGATATTTGTTTATTCCAGACGCAATTTATCTGTTGCAAAAATAGTCAAACTATACATGCACTACTTAGTCTTCAGTCAGAAAATGTTTTTCCTTCTACTTCGTTAAATATTCATTCAAACATTTTGCACACAAATACAAATCGTCGCGAGATCTATAATTTAAATTAATGTGCCAGTTTTCGGAGAATATTTGTCGACTTCGATCTAAGTTGACAATATTTTTCTTCCGAGTTGCGTCGCCGTGTAGATTCAAGTAGAAACCAACGTTTCGGGGAAAAAAAATAGTCTCCAACTTCCGCGTTTATTGTAAATTATACGCTATATTGGGCTGACACGGACCAAAATTAAATTATCTTTAAATATTTTCTGAGATGAAACGTACATACAAACATACTCCTATATTACTTCTTATTATGTGCCAGTTTCTTACTCTACGTCTGAAGAACGCACTAAATCGCTCCGAACTGTGAAATGCATTTTAGGGTTTCAAATGATTTGAACTGATTGATTTTAACACTAATTCTATGCGAATGTAATGTTACACCACACCTAATGTAAAGTCACAGTGATTTATCAATTCTCGTGATCACTATGCCCTCCCCCCATTTGTTCCCTGATTCAGGATTCCGATAAGTTTCTAAAGCATAATGTATAATGTCCACATAATATTACTGGGTTCATTAAATCAGGAGCGATGAGATGGGCGAGACATGTAGCATACGTAAGAAAACCACGAAATTTGTAGAAAATTTTCGCTTGAACATCTGAAGAAAACGGTCTGTTCGGGAGACCGAGACATTGACGAGAATTTAACATTAAAACTACAGGGTGTTTGCTTCGTGGACTGGATTCAGACTGCCTCAGGACAGGATTCTGAAGTCATAAACCTTTGTCCACATTGAAAGTGCTCAAGGCCATTTTATATAATTTATGGATTTTATGTGTGTAACCCTAGACTCACTTTCTCTTAGCTGTTCAAGGAATTCCCAAAATTTTATGTAACATAAAAGTCAACCGTTGTGTCCACTAAATCCCGCCATGTGAACCTGTGACCATCCAGTTGGATTCAGTGCACAACGTAACACAGTTATTTTCAAAGAGATCAACTTGGATTCAGTACACAACGTAACACAGTTATTTTCAAAGATCCACTTTAATATTATCTTTCCCTTTACGCCACCATCTGGAGCAGTGACTCCCAACTCTTGTAGTATGAGCAACCCTGAATAAAGAGAGTTGGACGCCTTAATTAGAAATTTATCAATTTTAGAAAATAATTATTAATAAACCTTAATGATATCTGTGAAGTACTTTTTAGAATCAAATTGTGTTTGTAATATAAAGTGGTGTTTTGTTAGCAATTTTTATGTGTTATAATGAGGCTATTAGCTCCTTGACGAACCCTTGAGGACCGCGGCTCACACTTTCGGAAACACTGATCTAGATGTATCACTAGCCTCCTGATATTTCGGATTCATTTCTCATCTCGATTTCAGGCGAAGAATACAATTTACAAAACTAAAGTTTCCGGAGTAAGAATATTATCGGCGCTTTGTTGCAGGTGTGCATAGTGCAGAAGAAGGACTGTAAGCGCATGTTCGCCATGAAGTACATGAACAAGAGCCAGTGCGCGGAGAGGGAAGCCTTGAAGAACGTTCTGCGAGAGGTCGAGATACTGACCACCCTGGAGCATCCGTTTCTCGTCAATCTTTGGTTCTCTTTCCAAGGTAATGCATCAATTAACATATCGTACTTGATCTTTTCTATGCTACGGACGATATATCTCGTTAAGAGACACTGGCCTTGTTTTCTGGTAATGTGCTAGATGCTGTGTCAATAAAAGTATAAGATACTTGAAGGAAATGTGGCCGATATGGTTTTTCCTCAGTCCCTCCAGGCAAATTCCAGGAAGTAACAGTAGATGGGGTCACGACCGCTTTCATTCACATACTCTAAAATATATATATTATTTATGATTTGAGGTTTCTACAGCGGTGAGTATGAAGATTTCCGTCTTCTGGGTTGTTGCGCTGTGTAGTCTGGTCGATGTTAACCAACGTTTCAGAGGTCATACTGCCTCCATCATCAGGGCGATGAGTATGAAGATTTCTGTCTTCTGGAATTATTTTATTTATTGATCATCACATACTTTGCAGCTACATATTCTGGGCTATTTGCAATGTCGTTACACCAATAAAAATACAAATGACACAAATAAAGTATGACATTTTAGCTTAAAATTAAATTACAGAAATGGCTGGATTTGATTCTGTGCATTTTATCCAATGAACTTAAGCCTTTGATATGCGAAGATGCGAATAGCTTGTGTGTTGAGCTTGTAGGTAATTTCCGTAATGGACATTGCGAGTGTGAGAAACTACCTGTTGGTGATGCGCGGGAAGCCTATATTTCGCCATACAGGGAATAAAATTTGTCCTAATACTGGCCGGCTACAAAACTGTTGGCCCGCGCGTGCTCACTGCTGGCCGCCGAAACGTCTCTTTGTCACTCGATGGTTGCTGGTATATCTCGATGGCGTTGCGTGTTTAGTATGGTTAGTTGTCCTGGAGATACGTACAAGTACAGTTTGCAGTGTTGTGAAATACAGGTTTCGAAAATGAGACGATAAATTTCTTCATGGAGGAAATGCTGTAGAAGATTTCGTAGGAAGTATCATGGCAGTGCAGTGCCGTGTAAAGCAACGATTTACAATATCTTAACAAAATTACGTTCTACGCAATTGGTGCTGGATAAAAGGAAATCCCGAAAAGGACGTGCTGACCGAAGGAAACTTGATAACATCGGGCCTTGATTAGAAGCAAACCAGAAGAAGTCGTTACGTGTTTTGGCTTTTCAGTGTGGATTGGCATAACGTAAAGCTCACACTAATAAAAGTTGTTAAAGTTAAATCCTTACAAGACTTCAGTCTAAAAGTTTATCAGCAAGAATTTGATACTGCAGGTGGTTTCAGGAATCAGTATTCAGTCAGAACTTACGTTTTGTTCTATACTACTTACTATACAGCAACTCCGACTTGCGTCTAGGTAAACATATTCTCACGATGTGAGGCTGCCCGATCCAGTCTAGTGATTAACAGTATACCCTATATCAAATCTAAAACTTCTTGACGATGGTGAAGAGTCAATTGAATACAAATTTCCTTGGATATTATCCATCGTCTAGTAAATATAAAACGTAAAAACGACGTTTCGGAGATGGG